ATACTGTAAATACTAAAAACACCTTGCGTAGCTAAAGGACTTTTCAATTATATTAGTTAAAACTTGTGTTTTTTCAAGTGCATTAGTATAGTCATTATTATTTTGTGCACATGATCATTTTCTTTCTCTTAAGGAGAAAGGATTATGACGCTGTCATGAAATCCCATGCAGCAATATTTATTCAAAGATGTTTTGTGTACAGATTAAGTTTGTAGACATACTAGAATTTTATTTAAAACATTTTGTTAAAAACAATTTATCATCTGAAATGATCTTCATAAGACATAGAACATTTTCGTTAATGTTAATGGAACAATTCAGTCAGATCCTGTCTAATTTCTGTTAGGACTAATTATATGATGATTAATCATGATTAATTGAGATAAATCTACTTTCCTAAATATCGCACGTTACTTCTTCATGAAAATTATTTTAATGATTAGCTCTAATACATGTACTAACGTTAAATCCAATGGTTTCTGCAGATGCACCTCTGAAAGGTAAGACGGTCTTGTTGGTTGGAGAGGGCGGACCCTTTGACTGTGCTCTGCAGAGTCTGATAGAGAAAAATGGAATGACTGCTGTCAAGATTGCATGGTGCTCCAGGAGCCTTCAGAGTCAGGTTTGGTTTACTTGTATTATTACTTTGACTTTAACACTAATACCTGTGAGCTTTTATTCCAGTTTTAGCATGTACAAGTTGTCTGTTTTCAGTATTTTTCTCGTTACCATTATTTTCTCACCTAACGAATGCATGCTTTTCATTCTACAACTTAATTACAACATCTCTTGTATCCTTAAAACACAACTACTTGCTTCGTCATTTAATTATAAAGTCAGCGCAGTAACACTACGGAAGCACAAGGGGTCAGTGTCGTCAATGAAAAGAAAAAGGAACAGCGTTTGCAGTGGTTATAAGCGCCTCCTCAGTATACAAATTATCTGTAGCATTTTTCCAATTCATTTGTTGGTGACTACTGTGTATATTAATCTACATTTTTAATTTAATATGAAATAATTTGTTTAGTGAAGTCAATTTTCTTTCTTAAAAACATTGTTAGGTTCTTAAAAATATATATTACTTTTTCCATATAAGGTGATGCAGGCTGATGCTGTGGTCTTATCTGGAGTGGGAAGTAGGATTGTCCCACCCACCTGGTTTAAGCCAGATGCTTCTGTTATTTGCTGCGAGTCCACTCTGGAGCCAGGTACTTCTTAATTATATTGCATTCCCACAGCTGTAATGTTATAATAATAAATTTGATCTTAATTATAAACTTCCTAGCTGCACAGAAACTGTGTAATAATTCATGTTTCTTTGTTGCTGATATCCCCGACTGCATTGAGATTAAAACCAAAAACCTGAAGTGTTTAACAGTATTTTTTTCACCCCAGGTGATGGTGCAATCGACACTTTCTCTAAGGCTGAATTGTCGTACCTCACAGCAGTGTACAGAACACAGGTGCATCTCTCTGCTGCCATCTAGTTTATGTCCCTGTTTATTTTATTTATTTAATCTGTGTTCAACTAACTCTTTTTTTTTACCTTTTTAGAATGTGGTGCACAGCTGCAGTCGGTGGATCCAGGAGAAGCAGTACCGACCCTGGAGTTTACGCCGCCTGGCACTACAGCCACTCACACCTGTACCAAGGTACACAACACTATTTGTAATGCATTATTGTTTCATACTGGTTTGTATTTCACCTTCATTACACACCATATATATGTATAGTAGTATAATTATATATATATATATATATACACACATATATATATGCATGTGTATATTTGTAAATGTATATTTTATATGTGTGTGTATTTACATGTACACAATGACATTGGTATATACATATTAAAAATATGTAAATGCATATAAATGAATAAAAGTATATTTACATGTGTGTTTTATGAAGAATTTCACTTTTCTGTATTGGTAGAGATATAGAAATCTCCAGAGCTCAGGTGCCCAAACCAGTGAATCAATTGGCTGAGGAGATTGGTTTGCTGCCGGAGGAGCTTGAAGCCTACGGCAGAAACAAAGCCAAGGTCCAACTTTCCGTACTAGACCGCCTTCAAACACAGCCCGATGGAAAATATATACTGGTTGCAGGGTAAGTGTGACCAACATAAGTACAGAGTTCTTATTTAGATTGTCATCAAAGTATCACATTTACACTGGCTTCTTTATGCGTTTATCCACACAGTATTTTTGGTTATAAAGTTCTATGTTTACACCCTGATTATTCCTCAATAATGTGAACATTTCATTGTCTAGAATAACCCCCACTCCACTTGGTGAAGGAAAAAGCACAGTGACCATTGGTCTGGTCCAGGCCCTGTCGGCCCATCTTAGGCTCAACTCCTTCGCCTGTCTCCGACAGCCCTCCCAGGGACCCACCTTTGGGGTTAAAGGTCAGCTATGATTATTCTTTTATCATGGTCCCAGGCCTTTGTGTTCACCTTTCCGTGCTCTCTGCCTTCCTCTTGACCCCACTGTAACATAATCTAAGAATGTTTTAGCTAATGATAACAAGTTTTATAGTGTTGTCTTTATCTAGATCTCCTTGTTAGAGATAGTATTAAAAAATGAAACAAAATCTAGAAGGAAATTGAAAAAGACATCCAGCTGTTTAAAACAGCTCGTGTTTGTTTTGGATGGAAACTTTCAGCTTTTGTTATGTTTTCTGTTGAACACACAAAGGAAGTTTTGGATGAGCCGCCCAAAGCAGCGGTTAGGAATGTAGCAGAAACAGAGTGATTGGCTGTCGTTATCAGTGTGAAGCCAGTTTACATACCCGGCTGCATTTAATGTTGGAGTGAAATGGTTCACTCAGAGTCCACCTCTCAGCATACCTCCTTTGTACCTTCTCTGTCCTATTGTCTGCCTCTGACTGTGCTTGTACGTCTCTGTGCCTAGGGGGAGCTGCAGGAGGGGGATATGCCCAGGTCATTCCCATGGAGGAGGTGAGACACAGACAGATTCATGGTGCTCCCACCAGGAGCAGGACTTGCATCAAAGACTTGAGATGTGCAGAGACTCCCACAAAACACTCACATGTGCACAGACCTCACCCCTGGAGCTGTGGCACAACATTGTCTTTGACTGCAAACAGAGAGGGAGGGGGCAGTGGGTGTAGATTTAGGGAGAAAAGGGAGAAAAGGTTCAAAGTTACATTGTTGTAGTCGACACTCATTGTAGAAAAACATCACTTTGCTTTTACCTCTTAATCATCTCACTGCCGTACTGCAACAAATGATGTTTTTCTTATTGTAAATCTGCGGTTTTAGGCCAAGCAGAGAGAATACAAGTCATCATTTCTTAAAGACAAATAAGACAAAGTCAAAACCATGAGAAGACTTTTCTTTTGGAAAGTCTGTTTCATTCCTGTGACATTAGTGTATCAGTAAATGTCAGCTGAGGTCAGACCATTGCAGGTGTGTGCAGATTCAGAAACATTACTTATTAGATCTCAGAGGTCAGAGGTCAAGGTTATGGGAACCTATTGCCCTCATGAACTCATTTTGTAAGGCATGCCGTAAAGGTAACTCATTGCATCTGAAACATCAACTTGAACTCCTAATGAGGTCAACCCACTCTGGTGGTCAAAGGTCTTGTACATTCTGACCTCATAATAGACATTTTGTTTTTGTTAAAAGAAAGTATGCAACAACCTGGTGAATTTGTATAATCTTGAACCATCTTCCTTGCCACGCCCTCCTGCAGGTGGTGCTCATGCTCCGGTACAAAAATGGTTTATATAAATCTTTTGTGCTTGCTTTTTAAAGTTTTTTTTTCTCTAAAAATGTAAAATGTTTTGATACCTTACAACAAATTTATGAGCTCAGCATTCCTGATTCTTTACATTCTGTTCTGCAAACAAGGTGGCATTTAGAGATGTATGGTCTCCTCCAAAGCTTTCTTTTTTTCTCCATCTCTCCTTGCCTGTCGGCCTCCAGTTTAACCTCCACCTGACCGGTGACATCCATGCCATCACTGCTGCCAACAACCTGGTTGCAGCAGCCATTGATGCCAGGATGTTTCACGAGACGACACAGTCGGACAAGGTAATGACACTGACTATGCTTAAGATGTGTTTTACACTGTGTACAAATACAGTATAATAATAAACTTGAATCAATATCATTCCGTCAGCTAACGACATAATGAAGAAATTAATTTATCACATCAATAATTTATCCTGTTTTGTTCTTGTACTCTAAGTGGGAAGCTCTGCTTTTCGTTTTTTTTTTACATTGCATATCACACAATACGTTGCCTACTTCTTAAATTCTGGGCATTATTTTTTTAACAGAATGTTCATTTTCAGTTCAAGAAAACATTTCAAAAGGAATGCTCTGAATAAATTACATTTTCTTTTTCCTCCCCTTGTAGGCGCTGTTTTATCGACTTGTCCCGACAGTGAATGGAGTGAGAAAGTTTTCACCCATTCAGATCTCCAGGTTACATGTAAGTCCAGATGTGGCCTGCACCCACATCTATTTTAACATATATCCATGTCCACTAGAGGGCTCTATTGAGCCTGTTTTTCACTCTCCTACACTTCATCTTGGTTACAGCCCAACAAATGTCTTATCTGTTCTTAAAGATTCCTTTCCATCAAGTCTTAAGTAAAATACTTACGGTAAATGTTCTGGGGGTGTGAAATTCAACTGGAGTAACCCCAGTGTTTGTCAGCTCTGTTTGATGAATGTCTGTGGAAGGAGAAGTTAAAAGAACTGTAAAATATTTATTGGTCTTAATGGATGGAGTTAGAGAACCATAATTTCCAAGTGAACCCTTTCAGCCTGAAAGTGGTTGTTTCTGCTTACCGTATGTTTGGATTACAAGGTGTTCTAATGGACTGAGTGAGATAATTACTAATATTTGTATTGTACCTCAAAATGTCACACTCTAAAGTTTGCATATTCAAAGAAGATGTGTAAAATCCAAGCAGATGTGTAAAATCCAAACCTGAGCATTTCTCAGTGTCTTCATCTCTTTGCAACTGCAGCGTCTTGGCATCAAGAAAACGGAGCCAGCTTCTTTAACACCGGAGGAAGTTAGCGCCTTTGTCCGCCTTGATCTTGACCCTTCGAAAATCACCTGGCAGAGAGGTAGTCACTCGTACTGACATGAGCTGAAGGGAAAATGAGTGGAGGCCAGAGTTAATTTGCATTCAGTCTAAGTCTCTTTTCTCTGTACCAAAGCACTGATGTATAATTTCCCACCTTATAGAAAATGCCCATAACTCTGATCGGCTCTTGCCCTATTTGTATACCGTTTGTATTCACTTAGGCTCATGACTTCCTGACTGGTTTTTACAGATGTATCCAAGACATAGTCTTCTTCTAAAGAGAGGAAGGTTGTTGACAAGGTCTTTGACAAAAACTATTAGTTGACCATATTAACACTGTTGAAGACAAAATACAGCTGGAGAATTGAAAAACAACTGAAATTCCATTCTCTCTCCTTGGTTGTCACTCATCTTTACAGTCAACCTTCTACTTATTTAGTTCTTTCTGCATACATCTGGTGTAAAATTGCACTTTGAAACTTGCACATGTGAACGCTGCCCATTCAACGTCTTGCCTTTCTGTTTTTACAGTAGAGATTTGGCAGTATCAACTTCACAAGTGCATTCATATGCAAACAGCCACATAGCGTAGATGTTTTCTCTGGAACGGTCATACGACACTGCCTCCATCCCATTGAATTAGCATCTTCTGCTGGAGGGCTGAAGTTATCAGCCAGAGGATCATTCAGTCGTAGCTGCGCTGCTTCAAAGTTGTTAGAAAAATCTGCTAGGCAGAGGGTAATACTATGACTGATGTGGTATTTACTCCAGCTCCAGAGAGTGGAGTATTCTTACGAGACATAACCCGGAGATTAAAAACACATTTACCTTTTAGTGCTGTGTGTGTGTGTGTGTGTGTGTGTGTGTGTGTGTGAGATGGCGACTGTGCGTGTTCAAGAAAACACCCTGTGTCTTTTCATTGTTCTGCATATTACATCAAACCAGCAGAAAAAGTAATGATCGACTGGTGTGGCTTTTTTTTTCTCTGGTCGTAACAGCAGAATGAAATGGTTTTGACACTTTCAAAGTGAAATGGCCAAGTGCTGATTAATGAAGTTTCGAGCAGAAAATCTCCCCTGGCCAAGTTGCTGTGCATGTGTCAAAACCTACTGACTGCGTGACTAAAACATTTTTCTTTTTATACTTGATGATTACAAGTACTTAAGGTTCTTGAATTTCTCTTTATGCCTTTTGTGCAATATAAGTTACAGTTTGGAAACCCCAATTTGAGAAAAGTCAAACACAATCTTATAGACAACACAAAATAAATCAGTAGTTTAGAGAATAAGAATTTGCATGAAGTACACTTTTATCTCCAACATATTTGGAGTGTGTTAGGGCAATATTTTTTTCAATAACTTTATACCAATGATAATTAAGTTGTTTTTTACTCTATTACTAATGTTGACCAGTACTGATGTTTTCACAACTTGTGTTTTACAGTTCTTGACACAAACGACCGTTTCTTGAGGAAGATCACAGTTGGCCAGGCCAGCACCGAGAAGGGACAGATGAGAGAAGTATGAACCCGTTATAATCCTGAACGTTCTTTTCAAAAATATTTATTTTCTTGGGTTCTGTGTATTTTGGACTTGGGCATCCACAAGATTAAAAACCCAGAGTTCAACATTATAGAGTTTTAGTGGTGTCACAGCAGGGTTCCCACCGCACAGGCATGTAGAAAAACAATATGATATAGTGTCCAAAAACTTTAGGATTCACACAGAGACATGCCGGCCTCTATTTGTCTTTCCTCTGACCATAATGAACCCCAGATGTGTATCTGCAGCAGTGACTGCTAAATTAAATCCAGTAAACAAACACTTCACCTTAATTTGAGGCAAGCAGGAATAAGCGAAAGCAAATGTTTAAAAAAGGAGAAAAACGACACACACGTGTTCACATTTACCAGCATCGCTTCAGCACACTTTTCATTCCTTTGCAGCCCCCTCCCACCCACTCATCCTCTCCTAGAGCTCGATATACTATAGCCCCCCAGGGTGTTAACTTTGGCAGTGGGAATAAAAATGTTATGTTCCTTGGTGAATTGATGTGGTTAAGGTTATGTTTCTTTGACGTGTAAAGCAGTGCTTTATAGTTTCCCCATATCAGTAGCTTCATTTGGTTTTACTTCCCGAGTCGGTTTCTCTTCCATTGGTTTAGAAAGTCCAGTCAGAAGTCAATGTTTTAAATTAAATGTGTGAGTGCATACTTTATACTGTGATCACTGTGTATCTCCTATTAAATTACTGTTATTATGAAAGCATAAATATATTCCTTTGTATAAGTAACTGTCATGACACCTCGTAAAAGTGCAGTGATTTCATTAGTTTGTTCTTCCAAACTGTACTCAGGTAAATTGTAATACTGAGATGTTCTTGCAGTTTAATTAAGATCTAAAAAGGTATTTTTACATTTGCTGCTAGTGCTTTTTACATGTCTATTTATTTTCCTACTATTTTCAATAACATTTTCATACACACTGTGTGTATAATGACTATAAGGGAATTTAATAATTGTAATAATAATAATAATAACAGCTGAATTTAAGAACATTACATTGGTACCATATCTTTGCACTATTGTTTAAAAATATGTGTGTGTGTGTAATTTGTTTCTCACCCTTTCTCACACTCCAGACTGGGTTCGACATTGCAGTGGCCAGTGAGATCATGGCCATCCTGGCTCTGGCAGACAGCCTGGAGGACATGAAAAACAGACTGGCTCGTATAGTGGTGGGGACCAGCCGCTCTGGGCAGCCCGTCACCACAGAGGACCTGGTGTGTGTTACTGTGTAATCTTTTCATTCGGCCAGTGTGGGAATTTTACCCCTGGCTATCTCACAGTCAGCTTTATCATTGTTAGGTGCCAAAATCTGGACCTAAAAAATAACTAGAAAGATTGTATTAGGCATTTTTGACTGGTAAAGATAAATTCAATCCTTTTAATGAAATGACCTCATACTTTATTGTAAGATGGTGGGAAAAGCAATATATCCCTGGCAGAGTGTCCTAATGAAGTGTTTAGAAGCAGTTTTCTGTTGCAAAAATAGTCTTTAATTGTTAATTAAATTATTGTTAGATAAGATGTTGATAATCTGAATCAGAGTTGAAATTAACAAGTCATTAGTTAGACTGAATTTGTTTTAAAAAGAAATGGGCAGATTGACACACAAAATGTTACCCTTTGCTCCAAACCCACCCGCGTTCTGGTTCCCTCTTTCAAGTGTATGTCTAATCTCTGTCTAACCAGTGATTAAGATGTGGGCCAGATTTTTCTGCTCCCATGCAGATCTGTAAGCTCAGCTGTCTGTGGTTTGTCTGAGAAAACCACACTCTGTGTTGTTTCAGAGTTGTACAGGAGGAACTCCTATAGAGTTACTATTAGTCAAAATGCAAAAAACACCACCACACCTCAAGGAGCCGACCCAGTGGGGATATGGTGTGTCACTGTGTCTATATGATCCATGTTGTGGTGTGTTTTTGATGAAATTTGACTTCCTTCATTTGGTACCCATTTGGACAGAGAGCAACCTTTTAATACAATTTTGAAATTATGAATGAATGACTCACCCTTCTTTTCTTCTTCGTTTTTAGGGTGTGAGCGGAGCGCTGGCTGTCCTCATGAAAGACGCCATCAAACCCACACTGATGCAGACCCTGGAGGTGAGACACACCACAAAACCCACAGTTAAATTATCATTACCCTGCTCATCTTAGGATCTGGTGATAATTATCAGGCAGATTAAATACACGGACAGTCCACAGACCCATAGGGAAGTGTACACCAAACCTAAATCTGCTGTCAGCCAGAGAAAGGAGAGTGGCCCCGCTGAGAGCTTTTAAGAAAGGATGATAGATGGATCCTTTCCTCCCATGGCTGTTTATCATTACAACAGTGTAGTGGAGGGCAGTGGAGCTCACTGATTCTCAAAGATGCACTAAAACTTTTATTTGAGTAATAATGATGTGATCCTGCAGTAATAGAAATGTATTTTTAAACATATTTATAATATAACATATTTAACGTTACGGGCTCCAGTTCACACAAAATAAATAAGTTAATACACAATATACCATGAGGCGTGTGCATTCAGCAGTGTTAGGTTTTGTTGTTTTTTTGGCGGAAACGTTGCAGTCCTGCTGTGTGACACCGTTTCCTGTGTGGGTTTCCTGTGATTTTGGTCAGGAAACTGGAATTGGGATCCAGCGAGCATCTGAGCTCCATGAGAAATTTCCAGCAGCCATGACCACCCCTGGCCCCTTTTGCCCTCATTGCATCTGATTGTGTGTGTTTTGATTACAGAGGGACATGGGCTGGAATACGTAGGCTAAAGTGTTTGTCTTTTCGCGTGTACTGCTTTGTCGTCCCATATGCATCAGGATTTTGAGGAAATCTACTTGTGTCTTAAGCAGACCCCAGCCGTTCTATGCATTTTTCAACATCCTGTCTACGTGGACTTTCACACTTCTTTGCATTTTTCAAACATCCTGTCTACGTGGACTTTCACACATAACAACATGCATCATTCTAAGGAAAACCCAGTAGTAGGGCCTGTGACTGTGGTCCCAGGGCTCCCAAAAGACATTTGCTGGGAACCTCACTGCAGCTGTTGTAATGGATGATATGAAAGACCCCTATGTAAAGGAAGCAGTGAATGTTCCTGTTATTGTCCATCTTACTTCCTAGTCCACATGTAATCCTCCCAGTAGTGGACCAGATGCTGAGGTGACAATGTTAAACCTCTGTTTGTTTCCACTGTTGTCACCCCGTCTTCAATCACTTTCCCTCAGCAGCAGATGTGGAGAGTGTGAAAAGTGTGAGGTGGACGACGCAAAAGTTCAACAGTTGCAAACACGCATGGAAATGTGACGTAAAGCGTGACGCGTGTACTCCTTTCAACGGAATAATTACTAAAAGGATGTTTTCATCCATCAACTCTATACTCTATACCTCGTTCTCTCCTCCCTCCTGGTGCCGATGCAGTTTTAGAGGCCGTTGCACAACATATTGTCTGTTTACATAGACAAATAGTAGACTGGGCCGCAGCCTTCGTCAGAGCCTTGTTAAATGGTTGATTTACTCCCCAAGGGGAGGCTGTTTATGCAAGCAGAGGGAGAGGTATGCAAACATAAACTCAGAAAATTGTGAAAAGGCCGTCCCATCCTTCCTTCTTCCTCTTTCTCAAGGAATTTGCAGGCGGTGTAACAATGGCATTATTTTCATCTCCACCACTTCTAGCCTCATGTAGCCTTCTATTAATTATAGTTCAGTATTTGAAGAAAGTTTAGACAGAGATGAAGAAAAGAGATCATTCTATTAAATATATTGTCTACTTGTTACATTCATTGACTCCTCATCACATTATAAATAGCTACTGTAAAGCCTTTGTAAAGGCTGTAATGTTCACACATTTAAAGAAGCACGTCCTCTTCAACACTGGTAAATTAACTACAGCTCCATTTGCATAACTCTATATGATTAGCAGCTGCTTCAGTGAATTCTCTCCAAGTGTTCTTGTTGTGCATTCTGGACGGCTGTTTAGGGAGTAATTCAGATCAGCACAAAAATGAAGCCTGTTGGCCGCAGGCCGGGGCGCCAGTCGAGTGCCTCTTAACTTGTGCCCAGTGTTGTATATGAACGGGGTATCTGCCAACATTCATTGACAATATTAATCCTGCATTTTTGGCAGTTAAAATGTTGAATATTGAGTGAAAGAGCTGGTTAATCCTTATTTAACCCCCCATTCTGTGAGTACATTTGAAGTAAGTTGGTCCTAATGTGTCCTGTGTGTTTGTGCTCCACTCTCATTCCTGCAGGGTACTCCGGTGTTTGTCCATGCTGGGCCCTTTGCCAACATCGCCCATGGCAACTCCTCAGTGCTGGCAGACAAGCTGGCTTTGAAGTTGGTGGGACAGGACGGCTTTGTCGGTGAGAACACACAATCTGCAGACGCACTTTGAGTTAAAATAGACACGAAACCTATCAACGTTTTTTAGTAAGTTCAGTTTCCAACAGCCATTAGTTGCAGACAGTTTTGACCTCTGTCCTGACCTTCTGCTCCTGAATCTTTCCTCCGTGCGTCAAGTGGACCTTTTGTCTGACTGAGTATACAGATCCTACGTAACTTTCTAGGAAACCGTAGTGAAGGCAGGAGAGGAAGCAGATTGATCGTCTTGAGTACCTCAGGAATGCTTTAAAGTAAACCCCCTAATCCCATCAACGTCAATCCACCTTGAGTATTTCCACTTTTATCTGTCCATCTATCCTGCAGCCCCTTGTCAGCTGCGTTGAGTTGAATTATGATAGGAATGCATCTGGGTCTGTGGTTCCTGTCAAGCACACTTGACACGTGCGCTAAACTCGTCAGTGCATACATATTTATGTATGTGTTTTTAAGGTTTTTCTGTGTTTCGGGGCAATAACAAGTACAGGCAGGACCATAACACCAACACAAACTCAAACTGTGCTTCACAAATGTGTGAGGAGGGTTAGGGTTTCACAACACGAGGTGGAGAAACAGCGAAGCTTCTCAACCTTCATCGCAAGTTTTCCATCTGCCTCTCTCCCTCCTTCCCTCCCTCTCTCTCCCTTCTTCAATTTTGTTACCTGACTCTAAGGTATGCCAGGAACTCACCCTCCCTCGTTTTCTTATCCAGCAGCTGGGGTGCTTGTACCCCCCCCAATCCCCCACCCATCTCCTCACCATCCCACCTTGTCCTTAACTCTTTTCTTGGAAAGTGCAAACACTCCCATTCTCACACAACAGTACATTATAGTGAATAACAACCAAGCTGAAATGCTGAGACTTAACACAATTCTGCTGAAACAACCACTCAAAATAAGTGATAAACCCATTTTGACATTGCAGAATCCCACAGTTGCAAAGGCTTCATAAAAGTCTGGGCGCACCAACCAACATAGAAGGCACAGAAATATATGTAATGAAATATAATGATCTTCCTGTTCAACACCTACTCAGTATGAAACCTGGGTTTTTTAGTTGAACAAAACACTGATACATTTGAAGAAAGACAGATGAGAATAAGAATATTTCATAGTTCTGTCTGTTATTTTCGTAGACCAACAAAGAGGAATATATGAATAATTAAATTATAGTCTTATGACCAATTATCGTTACACTGGACAATTTTCCACAGTACACCTGTCGATCTCTCATGGCACACTAATCTGCCGAGGCCCAGTGGTTGGGAATCAATGGCCTGGATTCTTTTTTTTTTTTTAAACCTAGCATAACATCTGGGTGTGGTGGTGAACAGTCATGACCACAACTAAAAGAATTGAAACCCATGCTGTGGACACCATGTCTTTTTGTGATGTTCACATCAGGTCATTATATCTGTCATCTCCTCATGTGGCAAACGAAGCATATGAACTCCCACTGAACTCAGTGACGGGTGTGTTTGAACATTCTGGGGCAATGCTTCATCACGGTTAGTATTAATGTGGAGGAAGGGGTTCAGGGGGGCTTTTCGAGTCACTTTGAAATTTTGCTTTTAAAACAGAAACAAGCTGCTCTTGGAAGGGGAGAGTTTGTACCGCCAGATGTGAGGGATTCATGAATCATTAACCGTCTGCAGTGTAAATCCGACGATCCCTCCTGAAATTGACTTACTTTTCAATTTCCCAGACTGTAAAGCCTTCCTGTAGCCACCTAACAAATCATCCACCTACAGAGAAGTGTTAACTGAGTGAAGATGACGGCTCAATGTGACCAATAACCTACAGTTAAAACACCACTGAAATACAAATACATACAACTGCAAATTCAAGTGAGTTGTTTAAATGTTCAATAAAACAAAATTATTAAGAACCGACTAGTCTTTAACAGTGAGTGAGAGGGAGTCGATGTAACTCTGTTGACTTAACCTACTCTTCAGCATTTTTGCGAGTGTTTTTATTGGCCGAAGTTATATTTTGAAACCTTTTGTCTCTTCCCCCTCTGTTATTTGTAACAACATCCAACTTCTCCCCCCGGTACTCTCTGGACTGTTCAAGGTTGTTGCACAAAACAGGAAGCATGCACGTTTACCCTTTACTAGTTTTACTCACGTTCTACAGATAATTTCATAAAAATTATGTTATAATATTGAGCCACTTGCACAATTTCTGTCATTTATATATACTCCTCACAAGAGCACAGGTATAAATGTAGTAATTGTTCTAGTACTAAAGTGAATTTCATCAATTTTAATTTAATCTAATCTTTCTCCTGTTACGACGTGACTGCAACTGTTGTCCATAAAGTATGAATTGACCATAGTGTCTGTCCACCCACAAACATGCATGTTGACAAATGATCATTCAGTTAATCTGTTTCCAGGTTCCATGCTTCCTGGTCACATTTCCCTGGCGTCCTTCAATCACATTACATGTACTGTAAAAAGGATCAGCTGTTCTTTTTATGTTTCCTGTAAACAGACCTCCTACACACAAACACAACACAACTTTTCCCACAGTGTGTGTGTAAATGAGAACATGTGTATTGGCCGTTGATAGGCAGATGGAGATATTGGATGTAGAGTGCACATCATTCTGTCCGTGTGTTTATATGTGTGTTTCCTTTGTGTCTCCTCTCAGTAACTGAAGCCGGTTTTGGAGCCGACATCGGGATGGAGAAATTCTTCAACATCAAATGCCGCGCATCAGGTTTGCGACCTAACGTGGTGGTACTGGTTGCAACAGTCCGTGCCCTGAAGATGCACGGAGGAGGTCCAAACGTGAGCCAACTACCTGTTACATCACAACAGCTTTTCTTTCTTCTTAAATCTAATAGCACAGATCCATACATGGACTCATATTCTCACAACATCACATTGACTTTCATGTGACAATGTTCTGTACACACCTACCACAAACACATCAGCAGTAACCTGCTAATAAAATGTTCCACAGCACATAACAACATAACAGCCTGTTTTCACCATAGTTTCCAGTCTTTGTGACGCCTCGTCTCTTATGGTGTCGTGCCATTAGATTTAGTTGCGTCTGTGAAATCTAATAACTTCAGAAACCTGTTAAACATATTTTTCTATTTGAATCCAATAAAGTGAACCATGTGTATTCATGTTTGTCTCCGTGTGTTTTCAGGTATCGGCAGGTTCGCCTCTTCCTAAGGAGTACATTGATGAGGTACAGTAGTTACAAATGACTATATGACTTTGGCAAATCCACAGACACACCTATACGTGAAATGTTATAATGAAATTCTAATTAGCCTAATTAATATAAAGGCCTAGACCAAGCTGGAATATTTGGATGCAAGTTTATATGAAATCCAAAAACAAACTGACCTTAGATTTGTTCCGTCACAGTGACAGACAGCATTTGTATAATCTTATTGGTCTTTCCAATTTAGATCGAGTTGTGACCTTTGACCTGAAACATCCTTGTGTTTGCTCAACCCAGTCTCCTCTCTCCACAGAATCTGGGTCTGGTTGCTGGTGGCTGCCACAGTAACCTGAGAAAGCAGATCCAGATCACTCATCTGTTTGGAGTACCAGTAGTGGTGGCACTCAACGTCTTCAAGTAAGATGTACAGAAGTAGATAAACACATCCATTAATGTTTACGTCTTATTTTCTTCACACAAGTCAACATCTTTGCTGCTTAGCACGACTCACATTTTCCACTTTTCCACTACAGTAGTGTATTTTCATTGTTGAGGCTGCCTCACCTCTGTTTCCTTTGCCGACTCTTTCAGGACAGACACCCAGGCAGAGATCGACCTCGTGTGTCAGATTGCAAAAGAGTGCGGAGCGTTTGATGCCGTGCCATGTCATCACTGGTCGCAGGGCGGTCTGGGGTCAGTGGAGCTGGCCCAGGCTGTGGAGGAAGCTGCCAGGACACCCAGCAACTTCCAGTTCCTGTACGACACAGAGGTCTGTACACGTAGCTCTGCATGTCGTATTTCTGTTGTGATTGTTCTTGTCAGTGACGACAAACACGTCCACATTTCTGATGAATGCATTCAATGCTCCGTTCTGAACATTCTCTGCTGGGAGTGTAGGTTGTCCAAGTGCAAAGTTAGATCCTGTAGAGATTGTGGCGTCAGCTGGTTTGAATGAGTTTAAGAAGTTGTGACTTACATTAACTTATCCTGTTACTGTGACATGTGTTTGTCTCAGTCTGGTCATTTTCAGTATACATGTGGCCGACCCCGGGCCACAAGTCCAGCTGTTGCAGTGCAGCAGGTCTGGGACTAATGTAATGAATCCAGTCAATGTCCACTAACGGACCTCTGTTAGGATCACTCCACTTCCTCCTTATCTTCATCTTTAAGCTGATCTTATCACTTATAATTACTTGTTTTTAGTTTGTGTTTGTCGTTTTTTTTTTCTTGGCTGCACTGGGAAGAGACACTCTCCTGATTTATGTCAGAAATGCTCATTTGATGGATCACAGGCCAAACCTAATAAATTGTATCGCTGATCCAGATCAGGTTTTTAACTTAGTACCATGGTTAAGTGGAGTCTTGTGTGTAGCAGACATAAGGCTCATCATAGGTTCATACGTATAGAAGACAATGAAGACGCTTCTCAGAGACAGTGTAGAATAGTTGGTATTTCTGCCATCAAAATAATCTTTTTAACAACAAAGCAGCAAACACATTATTATTATATCACAGTATTACTGCTGCTTTTACTGCATTGTGCTATTCATAAACACTGACCTACTCTTAGGGACGATAGATAGATACAGTGGATTTGGTGGCTGAGCTGGTCATGGAGCTGGATCCGGTTTTCCTGTATAGTGCTTGAAATTGCACTTCCTCCTCCTAAGCCAGAGAGACAGTTACAGGGATTACCTCTGTACTACCCATTGCCTCAGGTGTAAATGTTTTTCCGTTGGTCTCTCTCATCCTCCGTTTCTTGTTTAGATGCCTATTACAGAGAAGATTAGAACCATTGCACAACGGGTGTACGGAGCAGACGACATTGAGCTGTCTGCAGAAGCTCAAGCCAAGGTGGATTACTACGACCAGCAGGTGAGTTCAGTGGTGCTGCCATGACCACCAAAGAAACTGTATTAGAAAACTGTCTCTACTCTTTTTATGTGCTGTGATAAACTTGCACAATTCAGCTACATTAAAACATGTAGCAATTTATAATGTGAAGGGAGTTCAAGCCTGAGACAGTGCCGGTGAAAAATAATGTTTTGTTTTTTTTTAATTAAAGCTATTCTTTGAACAAAGCAGTTCCCTAATGGACACTGTGTTTTCCAGGGCTACAGCTCACTGCCCATTTGCATGGCCAAGACCCATCTCTCCTTGTCCCACATGCCTGACAAGAAGGGGGCGCCCACAGGCTTCATTCTGCCAATCAGAGACGTACGTGCCAGTGTCGGCGCAGGCTTCATCTACCCACTTGTGGGAACGGTAGGTGGTTGGCAACAACATTTCCTCTTCTTCACTTTGAATGAGGTTGATAAGAACACACACACAAGTGCTTTGTTTCTCTGTAACATTCATAATGTCTCCTTGAATAACACTAACTAACACGTGTAGTTCTCTGTGGTCGCCTGGGACTGATTGTAAAAAGTTAAAAAGTTCGAACAGTTTGTGCCTGGGACTGATTTTAAAAAGTTAAAAAGTTCGAACAGTTTGTATGGTTCCTAATAGATAAGCAGCCAGGGCCAGAATCTCTCTGGACAGACAACTCAGGGGCCGGACACTCAAATGAAGCTAAAGACAGAGATGTTAATGTTACATCGTCAGCCTTTGGTAACGTGTGGATTTTTTCTTCTTCTGTCAGCTTCGTTGCTTTATGGCAACAACAAAAATCACTGATTGTAACAGATTCCAATTCCAAGCGTCCGTCCTCATTCCCATGAGTCAAATCTCTTCCTGTAACCCTATCACTGAGCTGCTCAGAGGTGATTTGGCTTCACTGGACCCTCTCCGTTGATTATCATGGGCTTGGCAGGAAGGAAGTTGCTTCCTGAGCATTTTTTGCGTCCCGCTGTTTCACCAGAGTCCCCCGAAGGCCTGGCCTTTGATAGGCTGAGGCAGAGGTGTCAAAGGCCGGGCATGCTGAGAAGGGCTGGCAGTGTCTTGGTGCGGCGTCTGCCCAGCGTCCACACCATGTCTTTGATCTGCTGTGGCCTGTGGAGCCACTGCTACGTTGATGACCCTTGAACTGTGACTCATAACCTAAAGGGAGACTCCTAGTAGTTCAGGACATAAACATAATCATTGGATCAGGACAGCGTGATCCAATGATTTTCTTTTTTTTCACCTTTGAAGTGCAGCATCCCTCTCTTTGACCAGATGTGCTTTATTTTTCTTAAATTTTCTACAATGGATGATTTGTGTTAGATACAGAACAAATTACACTAATATGGGAAATTACAGATTTAACCCAAAGTAACATCTTCATTGAAAGATGTTACTTTGCTGAGTTAGACATGAATCTAAGTCAACACAAAGTGACAGCATTTTGTTTTCTAACTTGGACTGGGAACAGACCTTCAGGTCAGAGTGGACACAAAGAAGTGGAATAATCCCACCAACAAAAACCCCTCAGGCAATTAGAACTCAAGTTTGGAAGGAGGGTCGGGGGCAGAAGGGGGAGCAGCTTCACATGTGGGTTAAGGGTCTTCGCAGTGTAAAGATTCAGTAAGGCACTGATGTCATTCTTCAGATATGTGAGGGAGGGGTCGCAACCAGGACAATAGATTTTCTATTGGGTTTGTGTCCCTCCAATGCACCATTACACATGAGCAAGTTCACATTTAGGTTCAAATCCCCTCCAGGACACCACAATAGTCAGACCACCACTGTTTTGGTCTAAATTTTAAAAAAAGTTACAATTAGTTGTTGTAGAAAAAACTTCTGTTGTTGGAGTCAATTGATCAAGCATCTCATCTTGATGTCCAAAAAAAATTGATGACCCAAAAAATTCTCAAAAAACAATTCTACTAAAAATGCAACTAAACCACAAGCGAAACACAAAAAGTAAAGCTAAACTCAAAAAAATCAGCATCCATGAACTCTGTTTTTTTTAATGTTTTTTTGCAACCGGAGGACTGCGTAAACGTTTTTTTAAATGTTTTTTGCAACCGGAGGACTGCGTAAACCTTTACTTCCATTCCCCCTTGTTAACACCTTGTCACTCAGAGTCATAGTTCTGTCGCACGGACAGATTCAAAGTAAAACAGTTCCGGTGACTTTCCACTCACTCTGTGTTTATGCAGCGGATTCATCGCCTCACTGCCAAGAATCCAACTTCATTAGATGGTAGTTGATACAGGGGGCATCACTGTGACTCCTGGGGAGTTGGTTCATTTCACACCAACACCTGTGGTGGTCAAGTGACTGAAAATGTCACATGTGTTTTCTGGTATAAACTAGTAACCCCAGTCTCCAGAATGGGAGGGGCTTAGGAATCCAGGGACACTGTCCAGTGCAGGGGTTCGTCTCTAACAAAGACACATTGTGTGTGGGGGTATAGTGTGAAGACTTGTGTGACCCAGGCTGTTTCCAACTTTAGCCTGGCACTCTTATTGTTTTCCTGTGATCGCAGACTAGTTCTCAGGCCGTGAGAGAGCAGAACAGTGAAGCTTTTCTGTGACATTTTCCTCTTTACATTTATGCATTTTATAGCCATATAAAAGCCAAATTCCTCCCCTGTGAATCTGAACAGACTTCCTGAATCTAACAGTGGAAGGATGTAAGGACATAAAGATCTGTTTCCTTTAATTGTTTGGGTTTTTTCTTTTTACTGTATTTGTTTGTACATTGTTTTATTTTTAGCATTTTTTAGGATCTTATAACTAGAGAACCAGGAAAAGGTTGAATAAATGTTTTTTTAAAATAAATGAATCCAACCTAATGTTTAAAATTTCAAGCTGTAGTTCTATTCCAATACAGTTTGGGTCATTTGTGGTTCAATAACACGGCCTATGTCAGAGTTTATACTCATCTTCCCCTGGCTTCAGTCCCTTCATTTACTCTCACTGTTACGTTTCCGCAGGCAGGAAATAGTTGAGTCTCTCACTCTTGTCTCAATTCCGCTAATGGGCCCATAAAACTGGCCGTGGGTCAGAGGGAAGCAGGCATGTGGAGAATGTCTAATGAGCAAGATGGTTTACTTTTCAGCTCTGACTGGACAGGCAGCCTGCGATCAGGGAGAAGAAAGTGTTTTATGAGCTGCGACGTGGCCTTTGATGAAATTCAGTGTGAAAACAACGTGCTTTGACGACTGACCGCATATTATTAAGTCCACAGACTTTACTGTAAATCTCACTGATTTCCTCTGTGGAACAGGTCGGGGTGTGTCTTTATACTTTGTAAAAATGTTTAATTTTCCTCCGGCAATGACCAGTAGTCAGTGTTGCTGTGATGACACACCATCCAGTTAGCATGGTCTCCTGCTGTAAGGCAGCCGTTTGTTACCTATATTTTAGATGACAGTGAGAACAAAGATGCTACTGTCTGCAGTCTAATTCATCATGGCTAAAGTGGAGGTTGTCAACACGTAGATCGTCTGTCTCTCTAGAGTTAAACCAGTCCAGATTATAGTCATTGTCCCGTTTACTCCAGGTTTGATAGGGGAGATCATGTCTGCTGTGTCGCAGCTGTGTTGTGGTTAGAAGACTCAATATGAGCTGATGGTGTTTATTATAAAGGCTGCAGTCTGCTGCTTTATTAAACACTGAGTCAAAGGCCTTGTGCTGAAGTCACTGCATTTAAAGACAAAAACATTGAACTGAGTCTCACTCCCTGTCAAGAACAAAAAAAAAGTTTTTCTCTCAAATATGTAAATTAAAAAGAAAGAATTACAACATGTTGTTGTACAATTACTATCTGCACAATTAAAATAACCTGTGAAATATTTACATTTTATACTGTTTTTTTTTCCTTTTTGTCTTTAACTGTGGAAAACTTTGTTTTCTTTCCCTCAGATGAGCACCATGCCTGGTCTGCCAACTCGACCTTGCTTCTACGACATTGACCTGGACCCCATCACAGAGGAGATCACCGGGCTCTTCTGAGCACGCGTCAAGCATTGCTGCGATAGCAGATGGTAGCGACTTGGCCGCGTTTCTTCGTGTCTTTCTGATGGAGCCGGCGTTGTGCCTTCATTAATATTTTACAAGCGGCCATTGTCTTTTATAACTTGTTACATGAGACGTATTTCCTCCCTGGAGTTTACTTCAGTTTATTACACTCACTCTGTGCCAAAGTCTCCAGTCAATGAGGCTGCGCTCCCTGACTCTCACACACTCTCATCTATCAACCGCCTGATGGCCCAAGCTCAGCTGTGTTTGTGCAGTCCTGTAATAGAACATGTACATTATGGGATGTGCAGGACAAGAATGTACAGCGTGTTTCCTACTTTACAGTCTTCTTTAAAGATTAAAAATATTCATCAAAAAATAAACCAGTTCATTAAATGCCAAAGAAGAATTAGCAGAGCCATGAGTCTAAGAACAGTTAGTGTTTCATATGATTAATTTAATACACTGTGTTAACATTTCTTCTTTTGAAGAAAAAAAATATCAGTACAAGGATGCTGCAGTTTTATAACCGTAACATTTTAACTGAAAATGCTAATTTACGCACAATATCATTACTATATTATTATTATTAACATGCATTTATATCTGTTTTTTTTTATTTTCTTGACCAGTCCAAGCTGCTGAACTGCCCATGAAAAACACTAGTTGCGCTCTTAATACTTGAAGATGCAGTGTCAAAGATTATTATCATGTGATAAAATGTGTACGTGTCCACTGTGGATATGTCTTGTTTCACTGTGTTTTATCATATTAGTCAAAGTGTTTTCCTTTTCAACAGACACAATGCGTCTTAACTCTACATTGTTTTGTTTTTAAAATGTTGCTTTGACAAATGCCACCCATTGTTTTGACTGTCAGTAACTGTCCTATTGCTTCATTTGTGTGTGATGTAAGAACATGTCAGGTCACCAAGTATTCATATAAAGTATTCCTTTGGATTACAGTTGCCTTAAAAGACCAACAGTTCTTCCAAATAAACCTTTTATTTACTTGAAGCATTTGTTTGTGTTCCCTCACACCCTGCAGTTGTCAACTGGTTCAGTGACGTGCAGTGAGATTCATGGCTGGCGAGGCACTGACTCCTCAGGAGTCAGATTTACAATAGTACAAACCGAAAAGAGCATCTTATTTCACTACCCATCCAACAGCATCACCTGGTAACGCTTCATATCCATCAGCATTCCTCTTTCAATGACACTTACACCAACACAAACATATACACAGGAACATATTTGTTCTACAAAGAAAGTTTCTTTTATACAAATAGAGCACCTTTTTGTGTTTAAGCATTTAATATTTACTGTAAACAAATTAAAGTATAGAGAAGAGTACAGCAAAAATTTAATTTTGACCTTCAGTAAAACATTTGAGTTATTTTTCAAACCTTAAACTCTACTTACTCCCATCTTATTTTTAAAAAACATAAACTTAAAAACATTTTTAGCCTTACCTTCACTTATAGATGAAGTCCATGGTTGTATCTCTCGGTTTCCCCTCACCTTAGCACTGTGGATGCTAATGTTTACACTGCGTTGCTCATCCAATGCCAAATCGATTCTTGAATTTCCAACGGTTTTTAAAGAAATCCCGCTTTGAATGTCCGTGGCTGATCTTTCGTGTCTGCTGAGGCTTCTTTGTAAATGTTTCAGGTCACAGTATCCCGAGTTAGTCCAGACGTTATCACACGATGAGAATGACAAGACACAAAAAAGCAGTAAAGGAGGTTTGTTACAGGACAGCCACACAGCCTCCACTTAAAAATAACGACTTTTCTGTCCCGTAGTTAGCAAACTAACCTTTTAGCTCCGGCGTTTGTCTTCCATCACTTATCACTTCCTGTTTGGACCGGAAGTCCAAACGCCGACTTTCAATTACCTGTTGAAGCCAGTTGGAGAGCACCTGTCAGTTCACGTACGACCCCTTGAGGTGAGGCAGAGTAATGTTTCTCTGACTTTCTCTGAACTTCATTGGCTGAGGAACAGAAACCGGCAAGCGTCATGTGACCCAGTTTGTATTGGATCGCGCAGTCAGATACGAGGCACAGCTCTCCACTGCTTCATCCGGGGTTTCTGCTCTGTATTTGATCGCGAAATACTGCCTCTCCTGACCGCACGTCACTGACTGCTTTCTGTTGAAGTTGTTAAAATGACTGTAACAATTATTCTGTAAAAATAGTCAGTTTTATTTCATGGATTAATCGAGATTAATTACAACCATTATAATCTTATTAATCCAGAGCTGTCCTGTGATTGTTCACATTAAAGTTTTTTGACTTTTTTCCCTCTCATCCTGGTCCTTCTTCCATGACGTCACTTCTTTTATTTCCCTTCTGCGGTGTTTCTTACACAGTGGGTGTTTCCTGTCTTGAAGTGTGCCCAGTAAAACACCCTGGGGTCCGGCACCTGTCATTATGAGGTGCTGGGGTTTTTCAACATACAGCCATGGTACATGTATCCACATGTGTGGCGCCTGTCATTGCTGCCATTCCACACCTGCTCCCTCTGTCATTCTGTGTTCACCAGGCAGGATCTGGTGATTTAACTGCAGTCGGTGCTGGAGGAATGTTCTTTTGTTCTGCACAGTTCCAGTACTGTATACACACAGATGACAGGTTTGAAGACATGTTGTGGATGAGGAAGCAGACTCCGTCACTGCCGTGTAATGTCCCATAAAAGTCTCTGTTACAGTCGTTAACAGTCAGTTTCTTCTACTACTTATTTTTAATTGACTGCTGCATTTCAGTGCCAAGGACGGGTCCATGTTTATCTGCTTATAAACATTTCAGTGCTGCAGCTGTTTTGTTTTTTGTAACCACACCAAGGTTATGACATGACCCCCGCTGAAATCAACAGAGTGACCAGTGGAGCTGGCTGTATTTATATTTATTTATTTTCTTTTTGAAGTTGTACTTGTATGAGGAATTTACTTTGTTTCTACGACTTATTTCTCTGTTCACAGCTGCTGTCAGGTCACTTTGGTTTCACTCTGCTGCTCAGACTCTCGCTTTAGGCCTGTGGGAACTTGGCTCGGAGCAGTCGGACTATAATTTGTGCGTCTAGAAATTCCAAACAAAATAGCACAGCCCGGCCTGCACTTACTGCTGAATATCATCTGCCCATCAGAGAAGCAGCGCTGCTCTATACGGTACACTTTTTTGCTTTAGGGCAACAGACAGAACATAAAAAACCCCACAGGAGTCATCTGGGTTTGTCTTGCTGTTGTACTAAACTATTTTGTTTTATTTGATTTTTTTTTTTTTTTGGCAGCCCATGGCCTAATGCTAAGAGGATCAGAGGTGTGTGTGATTATCAAAGCTCCCTCGCTACCTGAGCAACTCTGAAAACATTTGTTTTTGTGCTAAACTAACGTGTGACTAACCAACTGAAGATTGTTTTTTTCACAGGGCTCTATAATAAAAATAAGACTGTTGGGCTGCCCAGTAAGTATAGATAATTTGTTCTTTGTTTGACTGAAAAGGTAACACGAGCTTTACCACCAGTTGGGTGTGACACTGTTATTTTTGATTGGCGGACAAAGGTACAACAACAGAAGCGTGGCATGTGATACTGGGTGCGATTGTTTGTTTCTTTTTTTTTTTCTTGGACAGGTTTACTTTCAACCGTAGACTGTAAATAAAAATGGGTGCACCATCTGTTGACCACACTAAACCGGTTTAAAAAAAAGACCTAAAGTGAACATCAGCTACCTGACGCTGTTTTCCATAATCGTGTTGAAAATAAAGTTGTGTGAAGAATTAAGCTGTTTTGTTTAGTCCTCAAAATATTTACACAAAAAAATTTAGTATAGACACTATTTGTAGAACTGGTGAGACTTAAACAGAGACTATAAAACGAACAAAGGCCTGAGTCTTATTAGTTAGGGCATAACTAAATAACTAAAATATATATTTTTTAAAATTGTTCATGTTCGTGTGTGTATATATATTTTTAAAAAACCTCATGTTCATGTTCGTGTGTGACCCCCATGATTTAATCTGTTTCTGCAGAGGACAACTGAGAACGGACGTCACAGGCTGAACTCTCATCCTCCTCTGCTGCCATTCACTCTGTATCTGATGATGCAAGGCGTGCCGTGCCACACCGGCCTCCTCATGTGATACAGAAAGGAGGTGGAGGAGGTGGCGGGTGTCCTAAAAGAGTACGCAGCTCCCTGTCTGCTGTACAGTCCGTGGTCCTGCTGCACACTCCATCAGTCCTGATCCAGATCCAGGTCACCCCGGGGCGGAGCTGCACTGTAGAGCGCACGGCGGAGACTCACTGCCTTCTCCAATCACACAGTCGAGCTCTGCGCCTTCGGACGTAACGTTTCCTGCTCTTTTCCCACAGAAGACACATTATTATTATTTTCATCCTCTGTTGACTGTTCATGATGGGAGCGGAGAGCTCAGTGCAGGTGGACGGGAAGAGCCCGGAGGAGGATGCGTCAGCCTCCACCGGGGAGGTGAGTGCGGAGGTGAAGGTGCTCCAGGAGGAAGGCGGCGCCCTCGACAGCAAGGTACGGATCACGCAATGTCCCGCAGCAATGTCCCGCAGCAATGTCTGCCTGGTGCGCAGAGACTCAGAATCCTGACATGCAACACTTTACTGTCATGTATTTTTTGCCTCCTCATTGGTGCTTTCTGCAACATTTCTGCTCCCGCTCTCCTCCTCCGTATCTTCTTTGCGCATCAGTAAAGTGCTGCAGCGCACGCAGGATCCACGTGCACGCCATTGCTGTTTTTGCTGAGTAATGTTTGGAGTTTGTCTGCAGTAATAAAACGCCACAGCAGCTCAGCAGCCTGCTCCAGATTTACAGTCCCAGAGTCTGGATGATGAACACAGACTCAGAGCACAGCTGCAGTGAACACAGCTCTGCACCGATGGTTTATGACTCAGTGACTCAGTACTTTTCACATCTTTTATTTCTTGACAAAGACTAGACACCATTTTAATAAACCAGAGTTTTGTTGGAAATATTATGCAGTTACTTTCTTTATAATAATAATAATAATAAATTAACCCTCTGTCAGTTAGTATGGATGACTAGAAAGGTATAATCAAGAAAATCATAATCAAATAAATAAAAATAAGAGTGTAGAATAAAACAGGAAAATATTCACTGCAGCTGTGATTATTTTGCAGTAGTTGTAGTAAAGATACCAAAGGGCTCTTGGCCTGTGTGTGTCTGCAGTCATGCTGTCCTCTTATTGTATTTTCTCTTCTTGTCTTGTTTACTGGTGTTACTGACAATCTCAAAAAATAATCAAATACAAACAATGCATTTTGTTTCAGAAAATAAAATAAATTATTACGTTGATTTCCCTTACATGGACTATGAGAATCCAGCCTAATAAACCAGACTGATGCTTTATTGTTTTATTTCTATTGAAATCTTGATACTCAGCTGACTTTCATGTTGATCCATACGTTTGACTTCTACTCCCTGAGACGTGCAGTGTGGAACGTCCGTCGCAGCTGCAGCATTGCACCCAGCCGACTCAGCACTAATACCTCAGTGCAAATTGCTCAGCACAGTGTGACTGAATATTTGGAAAGGGCCCTCTAATGACTGTGCATGTTTCCTCACCTGCTCTGTTCACGCCTCATATAACCTATTGGATTTATTGACAGTTTGGGAACCCTGGGGTCACTGGGTCAGATTTTGTTGCCCTGGCTCTGCGGCCTGAAGGTCACCAGGGAGGTCAAATGAAACTGAGGTGGACGTAGAGTGAGACAAAGCGCCACGAGGAGCTTAGCATTTGTCAGGGACGTCCATCATTGTTTGGTTTGTTTTTGTGTAGTGCAAAGGGACGAGGTGTTTTTTCACACGCTGGTGTGATTCTGTTGGTGTTCCTCAGTGACCTGAGCCTCCACAGAGAGGACTGGAGGACAGCAGCTGTGGTTGACTAGGTTAAGACAGTTGTCTTCTAGTTTACATGCCAGTGTGTCCCTAAGCAAAACACGCATTTCAACGGTACAGCTGAGGAGCGCTAACACAATACATGGGAAAATGAAGAGAACAAACACAGTGAACTGATGCACAGCGTGAATGTCTTTGGTTTTCACTGTAATCAACACAGTGTCAGTCGAACCAGTTTCATGTTGCACTCGTTTCATAAATCAATAAAAATCCGACACGACGCAGAAGCAACAAAATGTGAAATAATTTGAAACATCTGTGGTGATTAAACAAAAGCATTTGTTTCCTGTGTTCCATCCACACATCCATTATGAGTGCTGTATATTTATTTGATTAAATTGTTCTGAAATGTCAGGGCGTGTGCCAACTCACATTGTAATTACATACAGTACACACAAATCAAAGTACATGCAAAGTAATTGTCAATACCATCAGTAACACGTCTGCGTTTCCTTCTTAGTCGACGAAACGGCTGCTGTTCAAGTTTTGAAACCATTTAAGTTTGAAACCACCAAGAGCTTGAAGAACTTTGCAGACGCAGATCATTAGTCTCACAGCGTCTTTTCTTTATTACTCCGCTCCAAGCTAGACGGTTCAGACAGATTTATGGATGTCTGATGACCGAGGAAGACACGACTTCTGCTGTTGGGAGTGACAGGATGGTCTTTTACATTTGTAGTAATTAAGCAATAGGTTTTACTGCAAAGTCCTGGAGTGAAATTAGAAATGAGAAAACGTGTGAGTGAGTGGACATTTTCAATCCAGTTCAGAGGTCTGCAACCACATGACCCAAATGTGGCTCTTTGGCCTCTTCTGAAGATCAGGTGTGGGGTTGTTTTACTCCAGGTCACTGCTGATGATTGAGTGAGTGTGTTATACTATACTGAACACCGTGGTGTTGGAATTGATCGTTTCCTGCACGTAGAAACATTTGGAGTTTTGTCTGATGGAGATGTCAAACAGCTGTGCTTGATAGGTAAATAACAGAAGAACTCTGTGTGAAATACCCATGTTGATAATCATGTTGAGTTCAGGTTCATCTGAACCTTCAGACTGTACATCTTTATCTGCAGCTACCATGTATTGGTTTCCTGTGCTTTGTGTGAGCACTCAGTGACTGTCAGGCACATGTAATTACTGAGTCCAGTCATGTCATTAGTTATGCTCTGCCTGTTTGGCTCTAAATATGATTTAAGTTTCTAACAAGGTTACATTGATCAGATTAAGAGCTGGGTTATCAGTCAATGAAGCAGACGGGCAGTTACTTTAAAGGCAAGTGTTTGACATCACATACATTTACCTTCTTTATCTACTGTATATCTGCTGCAGTTCATCTGCTTCCTGTGTGTGACTCACTTAAAACTGATTTTATTTCCACTAGTTGGAGTAGTTTTTCTTAATTGTTTAAACTCCTCTGCGGTCTACTCAGCAGACTGCTTCATTGTACAGACTGTATAGATTGCTTTTATGATCCTATTTAGAGGAAACTATCCGATAAGGTTAATGTACTCAGAACAGAAAGAGTTGATTGTAAACAAACTTTGTTTGAAATTTTTTTGACATTTTTGGAGTTTAAAATAGCCTGTAGTTGGCGCCAGGTCCTGTCTCCATGGTCTATGTGCAGTCTCTGGGGTTGACAAGATCACATCTTACATGGTGTTTTCACCCTCCGCCTCCACCCTACTGGGCCTGATGTTGTAGTCTGCTGACTGTCTCGTGCTTCACTGTCGAATCACGAGGGACGAGCGACATTGACCGACCCAGACAAAAGGAAACCTGCAGCCCAGCAGCCACCTGGCTGTGACACGTGCATCACATTTCATGTGCTCCACCCTCCGTCGCGACGGCGGCAGCAGGTGACTCCCATGATCCGACATCCTGTGCGGTTACATAACGTGCGCTGATTAAGGGCTCCAACTGTACGTTCCTGTGTAATGAGCTGCGGCTGATCAGATGCTGCTGTGGCTTTGATTATCCTGTTTTTGCACAGATGGAGCAGAGAGAGTTAGGGTGTGGGGGGGGGGGATTGGATGTTGTCAGACAGAGGATCCATTGAGGATGGATCCAGGGAAGAGGACAGGGCTGGGGCCCCCTGTGTGCAACGAGAAGGAACCAACAGAGGCCGAGGAGGAAGGAGGGGGGGCTGAAGGGGGAGGTGGAGTAGCGAGAGTGGGAAAGATAGGGTGTGGGTGTGGAGCCTTGAGATGGAGAGAAAGGGGGAGGAAGGGAGGCAGAGGAGTTAAAGGGGGAGACCTGCCAGTGTGACATAAAGACAGATGAATCAGCCGATTGTTCCCTTCGTCCTCCCTTCTCCAGATTTGAACAGGCACCGATGACAGAGGTGGAGTGAAAACAGCAGAAAGAGCAACAGCAGTGTGTGTGAGTGAGAGAGAGAGAGTTTTCAACTCCTCAGTTTAAGCCACTTTTTGTCTACTCAGCTCTTACATCATCCTTAACGATGCCATCTAAATAAATACAAAAAAACCAAACCTAAATATTCAGCCAACATAAGAGAAGCCGTCATGTGACACTCTCCCATGACATTTCTATTGGCACCTGGTTCTGTGTTTACTCTTCACACCCAATGTCAACTAGGGTTGGGTCCAGCTCCTCCCCTGAACTTTAACAGGATCAAGTGGTTGAAGATAGATTTAATTAAAATCATTAAAAAAAAAATTATATCTACCACCATATGAGTCTTTTGTCCTGCTCCAGTGATTGTATTTGTGTGGGGTTGATTTTTAGACTTTCGGACATTCTCTTTAACAAACTTTGTACTTGCTGCTGTTGAAGTTCCACCTAGATTATGTATGATATAAAACTCATGAGCGGTGAACATTCAAACAAACAAAAAGATCATCATTCATCACCAGCAATAGAACCAAGAACCTTCTTGCTGTAAGGCAAGAAGGTTCTTTTTTTTCAATTCTTTCTAAATATGGAGAAGAACATCTTGATTATAGGGTGATGGTAAAACGTACTGCAGTTGTACACAGTTATCAGACTTGATGGTGTTAAAATGATTGGTTCTGCGCTATACTTTATGTTACACTATACATGTTCTCTCTTTAATGTATTTTTAATCATAGCCTCACTGTGTAAAGAACTCCAGCCTGGAGAAATACCTGAGGAGATGCACTACAGTCAGGACTTTATGTTGGAAAAGAAAACTAATTCCAGACCTAGGCCTTAAACATTCTTTGATTATAGGTGTGTGTGTGTGTTCTAGAAGGAGCAAACACACACTTGGCTGATCACACTGTTCTGTTTCTCATGAACCGGTTCAACTCCGACGCCGCCTGCTTCACTCTTCCCTTCTTTTCACATCATCCATTTTTCATCAGTGCGGCTGCTGACGCAGCACTTGCAGCATCAGAGGGGAGAGTGGAAGATGTACAGTATGTGTGTGTGTGGGGAGGGAGGCTATGTTTATGTATGTGTGTGTGTGTCCCAGTGCTGCTGGGAGTTGAAGGACAAACGGTGAATCGCTCCCCTGTGTGTCGCCGTAGAACATTTGGTCGTTGGTCAGATTTATTGGTATTGACCCAAATCCTGGTGCAGTAGAACAGCGTCAGTGTCAGATAAACTCACTGACC